CACTGAATGGTAAAGACGTTTGGGTAATGGGAGTGCAAATATGCAAATTAGTAATGGGCCTGCAACATTGTTGCAACAAAGTATCTATGGTGTGCAAAGGGTTAAGACAGCTGAGAAAACATGGCTTTTCATTGAAAAGATAATTTTCAGAGCAAATCAACTGAATTAGAGATGGTGCATGCGTGTTTCGCTGAGTAAATAAAACTCAAAAATAGTATTAGTTTCAAAAAAATGTTAAAATATTACGCTATAGCCAAAGATGATTTAGTCGAACTTAGTCTAGTGGAGCTAATCATACTACTGAAGTCAATTGTCACTTACACTCGCTGTCACTTACTTTTTATGGTATCTGCATCAGCTTTTAAGATTCTCGACTTATTCCTGAAAAAGTACAAGTCTGGTGTACTTGCTGGAATATTGATTTATTTCATGATGATATCCTCAAATTTTCGTTTTGATGAATATTTTTGTCATTTTTGCTAGTAAAGTGATATTTTCTACTTTTTTAAAACCACAAGTATGATTGCGTTGATATTTAGTAGATAGCTACATGTACCACTAACAATGGAGCTATATATTGTTTGTTGCAATTGTGCTTAACTGTTAAGGTATTTTTTGGTGGCAGTCGCTTTAATTTTGTGAGACTTATTTTCTAGGAGTGGTTTACAGTAAATAATTCATCTCATTTTCATTACAGCCAAAGTAATGAGAAGTCGGGACGGTGCTTTACAGCATGAAGTAATGCTAGAAAAGACGCACCCTGGCAACTTGTATCCTGTCTATGACTCGCTCAATCAACTTGGAGCTGTACCATGGCAAATCAACCAGAGAGTAAGTGCCCTGAACTCTTAGTGTAACATTTACCTTAAAAACATTCAACCTTGTCCAAGTAATGAGAACAGTTTGGCATACTTTTGGTGTGCTGGCAATAGGATTTGCATAAACAAGTTTTGTAAAAATTTATTTAGTATTTGGCATAGACCATGTTGTTATTAACATACTCTTAACTTACGACAACTTCATCCTGTTTACTTTTAATGCATGCTGGTTGGAACCACTCAGTAATACAGTAATGGCTGCCATACATCATCTATTTGAACACTTCATCCTGTTCTATTTACTTTTAATGCATGCTGGTTGGAACCACTCAGTAATACAGTAATGGCTGCCATACATCATCTATTTGAAAGCTGACTCTCGCCCTCTGTGAGCTGTCCGGTATCCTGATGATGTATATTACAACAAATAAATAAATTTCTGCATAGTTGGTACATATTGCCATTCATGTGGTGGAACTTTTTTTTTTTTAAAGAGTTGCACTGGTTGCTGATAAGGACGATTTGCATGTGTGTGTATGTCTGTGTAATTTCTATTCCATTTAATTTTTCCAGATGTTAGACTTGATAATACAAGTATTTCGTGACAAGGGAAGTGAAGAACTCGATGTTCCACAACCAGTATCAGAATGTCCAGAACCACCTAAGCTTTCAGAAAAGTAAGACTGATTGATTGAGATATATATATATATATATAGATATATAGATATAGATATAGATAGATAGATATATAGATATAGATAGATAGATATATAGATATAGATATATATAGATACATATATACATACATATACATATATACATACATATACATATATACATACATATACATATATACATACATATACATACATATACATACATACATACACATACATGCATACATACATACATA